ATTTATCAATCTGTAATAAAAGACGTGAGGAAATTCTGTCTTTTTTAAAGACAAAATTTTTTGAGGCGAAATACCCAAAAAGAAGTTTGTAAAAATGAATCCGCCTCAACAATATAGAACTTATCTATAAAATGAATTGTAATACCTCTAGACATTCACAAATTATTAATAAAGAAATTTTATAAATCTTTATTTTTTTGTCTTTGAATTTACACATTATAAAACAGATGGTAAGCCCAACCATTTCGCATTATTATTGTTGCATTGGCAATAAAACAATCAACATTACAAATTCTGCTGTGCTTCCTTTGCGGATGTAGGTTCTTATCAAAAGCAGCAGAAGAGGTAAATCATGTAGAATTCCTCATAAAATATGGATATTTAAATACTTCAAATCTAAGTAATAATAACATCGCAATTTATCTTTGGTGGACATATCTGAGGCTGTGTTCGAATGTCAAGAATTTTATCAATTAAACGCAATAGACGGTACTCTAAACGAAGAAACGAAACAATTAATTATAAAACCCAGATGCGAGTTTCCAGATAATCGTCACTTATTTTTCGTTGGTAATGAAAAGTGGAAAAATAAAATTATTTACTGGTACTTTAACGAGTTGTCGTTAATAAAGAATGTTTATCGTCCCCAAGATGTGTTAGCGGTAACCGAAGCTGCCATTTAGATTTGGGTAAACGTTGCTGATTTAATATTTGTACGAAATTTTAGAAATCCTGATATTGTAATTAGGTTTGTACCAACAAATCATGCAAACAAAAACGGGAAAGTGCGTATTTTGCGAATTGTCGAAAAGTTAAGTGCGTAAATTCTTTTGACGGTAAAGGAGGAGTTTGACGGTAAAGTGGAGCCTGCACACGCGTTTTTTCCGAACAAAAATAATTCATGTACAGAGATACATATAGGCCAAAGTGATACCTTGTATCTGGGATTAAATAATCATTCTCCTATAGGACAATATAATTTATTCAAATCTTTGAGTCATGAGATTGGACACACCTTAGGGTTAGGCCATTCAAGTGTATCTAAAGCACTTATGTTTGCATATTACAATGATGATAACGCTACGTTAGATAACGATGATATAGTAGCAATACAATATCTGTATGGATCGAAGCATACACCATCAAAGTCTCCTCGTTCTACTACTACGACTACTGCTACGACTACTTCTACTAAACCTCTTTCAAAAAACACAACAACATGCCCACAAAGCCCACATATCCAATCACTACTACTACTATTCGTATATCTTATGTATATCGGCCTTTAATTACGAAAATTTTAATTACTAAAGAGCTGTTATTTTTTGTTATGCATTGAAATTTGTACATTATTCATAAAGATAAAATATGGATAATGGAACTAGAAACGAAAAGTTTACAACTGGTGGCATGTCACTTTATTCAGTTTTAAAATTTCTTCCAATTTTGATAAAATTACGGCAATATATCAGAAATCTTCTCGAGAAATAGTAATAATAATTGAAGATTAAATATTTTTCATTAACGAACATAGCTTTTTATTAATCAATAAAACTAATGTGTTTCAATATTTAATCAGTATTTAGATAAACACATTATTGGTGCGGTAAACACGTATACAGAGAAAACGTTTTATTTTTTCGATTAAAATGTCTACATGTTAGTTGATGACCGTACATTTACTGCTATTACTTACGGTTAAACATCTCAAGATTTTTCTGGTATTCCGTTTTCATTTCAAAGCGTTTTTCGCTACATTAATGGCATGCTATACTTTTTTCAATATAATCGATATTTTGAATATTACGAATTTGCTAACACCCTATATACTTCAGAGAAGCTTGACCTGAATAAATTTGGAATATAATGCCCTAATTTATCTTTATATGAACAATTAAAAATATTGTTAGCTCAAATTTTGAAATATAAATAAATCATTAATAAAGTTCCATAAACCAATAAACTGGCCATGGAACATAACCTTCAAATTGACGAGAGAGACCAAATATCCACCAAAAGAGACAGAACACACACCGGCCAATCAGAACGCATTACACCCATCGAAGTTATCAACATTATGCTCCGCCTATTATTTTCAGCTACCGAAAGTGCCTTTGATTTTACATGAGGTGACGTCACAGATTATCTCTTATATTCTACTGTTTGGGTTATTAATGTGTCCCTTAATGATTTCAAAAGGTGTGTGTATTTTGTCACACTTGTATGGAGTTATTATATCCTAATAATGCACGCTTAATCCGTTGCTCCGGTGTGTACTGTTTATTTTGTATAATGTAATATCATATATGTATGTATGTATGTATGTATGTATAATAATATATGCAATGTAGAGTGAAATCTCTCGAGGGGTGAATTAGTATTACTGTTTTTTGATGTTCCGTAGTGCAATTCGATTTTGTATAATCTACAAAAAGTTTTTATTTTTGAATTCTGATCCTTGATTTAGATTATTATTTAGGACCTTGATAGTTAGATTAAGGGGTGTGGTGCTCAATGCGGTTAGAATAGATTCTCCACCACTGGGCTGAGTGGGCGTCCCATGGCTACTCCTTCCTTTTGTTCGTAGTAATCTCCGTTCCACAGGAAGTAGCCTAAAAGATAAGCCCTGAACATATTTGTTACACTCTTTTCAATTAACTCCGCCACTAATTCTATGGATTCGTCCAAGAGTACCTTTGGAAAAAGGGATACAACATCGAAGCTGACCAGCATGTAGTTGTAGTTGATGTTGATGTATGTTTCTGTGGACCCCAAGTGTGGCTGCAGAAGAGAGAATTTAAACGGGACGTTGCAGACAAAAAATTCAAGAGACTTTTTCTCTTCCAAATTGAACAGCAACTTGAACAATATTATTTAAAATTATCTACAGACGTGCCTGTATGTTATTTTTATCACAAAACGTGTACTGTTGTTAGTTATCTAAGCCTGTCAAATTTCATTATAATACTCCAAGCGGTTTCCGAAATATTAATAAATAACATTTTTTTATTAAAATTTTGACACCCTGTAGATCGGAAACTAATGGTTTTCGTAACCTGGTCTATTAACGAAAAATATCCAAAATTACTTCCACTATCACCCCCTGTAAGGAATGCATCTACTTACCAAATACCTGTATACAGGGTGTCCCGTAAGCTAATGATCAAAAGGGTACTGCGATATTCTTTGGACCAAAAGAAGACGATCTGACCTATCTTTTATTAACAAAAAATATCTGGCTTCTCTGCTATTGATGGTCAAAGTTCTTCAAAAAAATTATCTTTTTCGAAATATCGGGAGAATGGTACCATGTATTTTAATGAAACTCGCTGTGAATTTGTTCTTATTGAAGACTCATATTTTGATGAAACAATCGAGGTCAGCCGTTTTGGACAAGTGGTGAATTCTTGAGTGTCGTGGTACAAAAACTACTAGTTTGTAGTTGCTTCAGTTCTTGCTCCTTTCCTTTTGGATTCGGCTTGTGCGGAAATGTTTTTATTTGCATCATTTTCATTCCATTCATTTGCTGCTTTCTTTTTAAAACGTCTTGCGACTGTCCTCTTAGTTCTTACATATTCCCGATTCCACCTTGGAAGAAACAAACTTAAAATAAAAACGTTTGTGTTTGTTAGTTAAAGTATACCGTATTTATGTTACTTATCCGGCATTTTTTAACATACTGTTGCCTACCTACATAGGTTTGTGGAATTTTATAGGAATATTATAGTTGCGTTGATTGTTCTTAATATCTGTTATTGCTTTGCAGTTCGCAACTTGAACAGGGTGGGTACTTGATTGTCCCCACCACTTTCGAGCCAGGGCAGGAATCTGGTTTCACCCTCAGAGTGTTCTCAAGGAAACCATTGAAATTGAAACTGATAGACTCAGTACCGATGTTACGTAAGTAGCTGCAACTGATCAAAATTTCTTGCTGTTTAAAATAGGTTTTTTTGTAGTAAAACCAGCAGTAGTAACAGCTCCTCTACTCTTAGATGGCAAAAGTTTCAGCCAATACGAGGCAGTTTTTCTCCAGTTAGCGGATGAGCATAGATCAGTAAATGCTTTTGAGTTACAAGAGCTTTTAGATGCCTGCTTACCGAACGATTACATCAAAAGTTGTGCCTCATTAGAAGTTTGTCGACAAATCGTATTTGCTTTCGAGGTATTTAATTTATCTATTTCGTACTGGTAGTAAGAATATTATCTTTATATCCGGTATTTTCAAAATATTTGAGATGCAAAGCATTGCATAACATTCCGAATTCATCTGTCTGATTTTCAATCGACCATTATATATAAAGCACAAATATCTCTGATCGCAGCAAATTACAAATTTCATATTTCTCCCAAGATTTAAAAAAACAGACGTAACTTAAATTCTGCACACTATCCCTTTTTGCTTCACTCGAATTTAGTGGCACTCACGATACTGCGCCGTCGACCGATTTTGCTAGATGTGATTGCAACCCTATTTGGTTGCAAATCGGATGAGAACACATGCGTTACGATTCTGCAGTACGATATTTACTTCCAATCAGTCCTAGGTGCAAAGGTGGTCCCACCTGACAGCGGGTTTAGGTTCGAAAGGAAAGTTAATGTGGAAATCCCAACAAAACAAAGTTGGAATAGTTAGACAGTGGCTGCCCGCCACGGGGTGCAATGTTGGTACTCCGACGACTCACGGGCGTGCAATACGGGATGGTCGGAGAAAGGCATGTACCGGCAAGACACCGACAAGGGAGCGTCCTTTTCGCTAGGAAGCTGGACGACAGTGGTTCAGGCGGAATTATATGCATTCGTCGAGGTTTTTACAGATAGGGAAAAGTTACAGAAAGGCTAGAGGGAGTAATCGAGATGTATTCCGACCGCCAAGCTGCCCTCAAGGCACTCTCAACTGTTCAGATGGACACAAGATTGATCCAGGATTGCTGGGATGCCCTGAACAAAATGGGAGAACAGAAGCAATTAAACCTGATGTGGATTCCGGCGCACATGGGTTTTGCGGGAAACGAGGTGGTCGATGCAAGGCTCGGATCTTCTGAGAGCCCAATGACTTTGGAACCTCACATAGGGTAAAACAGCCGACAGGTAGCAAGCGCGTTAACTGACTGGGCTCTTAGAGGCACCACAGAGATGTGGAGAAAGGCGGAAAGGTGTAGACAAACTAAAGGCTTGATAAGAAGCACAAGGATCCATTGGCGGAGGAAACATCATTCCACCTATTAGAAATTTGCCACCGCTAATTCTCTACTAGGGGGCTGCTTTTTGAGGCATCCACACTCTCCAGCATCGAATTGCCTTTCTTGGAGTGGAGACGGATCCTCGCCTTGTTCAGAGAGATGAGACGCTTGGGTGGCGAAGGTCAGGATTGATAAGGTGGGGATGGCGGGGAATGATGAAAATGAGCTTCAAGGCCTACTCGCCTGACCCATTGGGTCCATCCACAATACTACTGTCACTATTACTACTACTACTTTGCTATCGAAAATAGTGGCGAAACAATGTACTTTCCACTAAGGGATCAAGAAAGATAATTGAATAGTGGGCGGAAAGGTAAATTGTCTTTGCCCTGTCATCGTAATGGATAAGGGTGACTCTATCGCCGTCGAAACCAGTGGTGAAACTACGTACTTTCCTTCGGGGATCAAGAAAATATATATCTTCCATTCAGAAAGAAATTAAGTTTCATTTTATCTGTTCCAGGTCCATTTATAAATTATTAGACCCCTAAGATTATTGGAATGATAAAATTATCTTTGCCTTAAACAATTGCAATGTTTTATCGTTTCCGTAAATATAATTTCAAGTTTTTTTAACTATTCATGAATGTTTATTAATAAATAGCATTGTTATAAGAATAGTTAGAGGAAACTTACAAGTCGTTTATTGTTGAATTGATTGGACTTTGCTCAATCCAAACGATTTAAACAGATAATTTATAAACGCAAACCAAAATGTTCCATCTCGTCATTTGTGACACGCTTTCGTTATCTCCTTCTCTTAATGGGTTAGTTCAAATAATTTTTTGGAGAGAGAAGCAGGTGGAAAATATTGACGTTCCAACTTTAAAAAAGAAAATATTAACACGAAAACATTAGAAATGATGGAATGGAGATGCAGTTTAGAGGTTGTATACGTTTTTCTGTGATTTTTGAAAAAACATGACCTCCTAGCGAAACCGGATATTGACCTACGTAATTTTTGCTATAACCTCAAACTAACCGTCAAAAGGTCGAAAAACCTGTTTTTGGTACTTAATTTATTTCTTGCGCACAAATGATTTAATTTCCTTCAAACAAAAATGCTCTACATGCAAGCATTTTAGTTATTAAAGGGTGTTCCATTAAGAACGATATATTTAAATTTTGAATGGAACATATGTATTTGTGGCATAAGTTTGAAATTTTTGTTGAGAAATGAAGTACCCATTATGAGGATATGAATGGAATAAGACATCGGACAAATGACCGCCTCGGAGTTCCGGGCACAGACGTGTTCTTGTCATGAAATTTTCAAGAAGTATTGCGCATACATTTTGCGGTTTTTCAGAGATACATCGTTGAAATACATCTTTTCAGGCTTCTGTTGTGTCCAAAAAAAACTAGCCGTCTTAACATCACAACCCGGTTCAAAATAAAAGCCAAAATTAGCTTAAGTACTGTAATAGGCAGACAAAGACACTCCGAACAAACAAACAAGTGAACAATATATTTATATAACGACACAAACAAGGGTGTGGTAACTAAACAAAGGGCCTGAACAGTATCCTACCCTGCGAGCTCAAAGAAAAAACTCCAAAGGCGTTAACACGGCCAGGAATTAACTCAGTTGAAAGTAGTTCAACAGTTTCTCTGGCTGTATAGCATGTTGCACCGTCCTATTAAAATCACATGCTGTTGACGTCCATATTTTGCAGTTTCGGCACAGAAAAGTTAGTTAACAATTCACCATAAGGAACACCACTCACGGTTAATGCTTGACAAACTTCATTTTTAAAGAAAAATGATCCGATGATAGGCATCATCAACATTTGCACGTAGTTCTGAAACAGTTTCGGTCATTAACAGACCCAGTATGCTGAAATTTATTCATTAATTTTCTCACGATGACTTCAGTTGGAGCATTCCGATCGCCCATAATGGGGTGTTTTCATTGTATCAAAAATTCCTACAAACTGCACATTAATCTATGGTGACGATATCTATCGATTGCCATTTTGTTAAATATTTAATAAACAAATTCAGGTAAAATTCAAATTATTCATGAATCTCTAAAACGCAATCCTATTGGTTGTGACGTCTCGGGTCATATAAATGGCGGATTCTTTACGTTCTGTGCATAGTGTTTAGTTGTGTGGTTGTGTTTCATTAATTATTTTGTGGATTTAAATAATTTATAGTCTGTGCTAAACTAAAAAATGGCTTCAGAAGGATTCCTTAAAGTATCAACAAACAATTTACGATGTGTACATATTTTTATGGTTACCGAATTTTTTAAAATCGACGGACGCCTTAATTTCGCCGAATTTAAGGCTCATAGCAGCAGCGTAAGTAAAAATCCGTAAATTCATTTTTAGTTACTCTCTCCTTAATATCCTAATCTGTCTGTAATGGTTTAAATTAGGTAAATAATATATAGAATTTCACTTATTCAACTTAACCTAACCTATACACATGGCTGCTTTTAAATTAAAATGAACTCTTAAATTTGTGTTTTGGACATAACGAGAACAATATGGTGATATCGGATATGTGGAATTGAAACGCGAGGGTTCTTTGTGCACTGTGCAAGGTAGCATTTGCCCAGAACACAGAGTACGATCGAAGGCATATTCTCTCTGCCTCACCATTAGCTTTTTGTTCGTACTTTCATTAAAACGATCCTCGCAAAAACAAAAAACATTAATTTTGATTTAGGAACATCACGTCTAGCTGCTTTGAACCATAAAACTGTACGTGCATAATCATGGGAAACGGTTAGAAATAGTTTGTTTGGAGCACTTATTGAGTAATTCTTGCATCCTGGCACAAAACACCACTTATTTTGTGATACATACATGCCACGACGTTCCATTATGCAATATAATAATAATAATCAAAAAAATGATGATAATCACGATCAAAATTAATTCCTGGGTTTCAGTCATTTATTGTCTGTATTTATCAATTAAAATACGTTTCGGTGTATTTTTCCACCATCATCAGTTTTTATGTGTAGCGTTGTTTTTTGAAAGAAAATGTATGCCAAGGCTTAAAGCAACAACAACGCTACACATAAAAACTGATGATGGTGGCAAAATACACCGAAACGTATTTTAATTGATAAATAGAGACAATAAGTGACTGAAACCCAGGAATTAATTTTGCTTGCGAAAACAAGCTGCGAAAACAACAAGATGAACACGAGACACTTTGTTGATATGACCTGCTACGTCACAATCGGGATAGGCAGGATCATTCGGTGTATGATTACGGATTCGGCGTTTTTGGCGGAAAATATCTGATTTTAATTTAAATTCGCTTTAAAATTATTATGGATGCTTTTCTTGCAAAAATAATGATATCAGGTAATGTTTGCCATAACTACTTTCTATACATCAACATTTAAAAAAATGTGAACACACCCTATTGTACGTATTTCTCGAACGGTGGCTGCAAAAGTTCCACAACTTTGATAATAATTTTTGACCATTAGATTTCGTTGTTGTGTATTGAACCGCTCCATTTTACTTAACCTCTTGCTGTCTACTAACAAACGGCCTTTATTAATGTCAAATCATGACACTACAAATGGCGCGCAATTCAAAACCGTCCTTCTTATTCGAACTCCCTTTATATGCAATAATATGTATCTTACGAAATGACACTAAATGAACTAATTGAACCAACATTTTTAGCAAAATGGTTGCACAGGACGTTTAAAATTTTCGGACTTCAAGGATTTGATGTGCAGCTTGAAAAACTGGCAAACGGCTTTCAAAAATCAGACAAAAGAAAAAACTGGCATTTTGAAAGCCGAACGATTTCGAGACGCGCTTTTAGAAGTTGGATTCCAAATGAGTAGTGATGTGCTGACGACATTGATTTTGAGGTAAGATAGCGGCACGTTTTTAATTCTATTATTAAAATTGCTACGATTTTTTTCAGTAAGTATCACCATTCATTTCAGCGAAGGTTGCACATAAAAGTCCAGTTTTTGCATATTATAAGCAAATTAAGCAGAAACTTTAAAATATATTTTTTTTACTCTCAGATTTCTGAAGTAGTTAAAATTTTTGAAAATTATTTATTTCAGGTACATGAGGAAGGACGGCACGTTACGATTCGGAGACTTCGTGTCAGCTATCTTACATCTAAGCGTGGCTTTTCGTAAGTACCATTTATATCAGCTAGTTAACATTCGTTAATCGGCTCAAGACCATACTTACTTACTTTAGACGTACTTACTTATTTTTCCACATACTTTGCAATTTATGTGGCAACTTTTCGACTGTTTTATCTTTTATTCCTTTTACTCTTGATCGAATAGTCATGATCAGCCCTCAACTGATGTACTGCTGTACATAGGCCTCCCGTCCTTAGCGTAATTCGGGGGGTGGCAAGGGGTGGCAGCTGCCACCTCAGAATTTTGAAGTAAAATTATCAATAATTAATAAATACCAAAAAAAATAACTGAAAAAATACAAATCCGCAACTGGAATTGTTTTTAACTTGTGTAAATGTGTTCTTAAACCTCGCTCCTCAGTAGCTCGCTCCTCAAAGGTATTACAATAGTGTGTAGTGTGATGTGAAGGTCCATACGTACATATTGCAGATATTGTACATATCTACATACTGACATATGGTAAGTACATTTCAGTTATTTCATAGATTACGTTTGGTTGGTTTCCGAAGTTTCATCTTTAACTTTAAGCCCTTTCAATTCCCCATCGAATGGTATGTTACTGTTTGTGTTCTTCAGGCTAAAAATAAAAAAAGCGCAAATTTCGTTGCTCTCCTACTTTACGTCAGGCCGCGCAAGCAAAAAGAAACTGTTAGAAAATGAACCAAAAAGACGATGTTGCTTTGGAGCATAAACCAGAACCTAATGTAGTAGATGTGTTCGGCTCGTCATTCGCTCAGCCAGCCACAACCACAAAGGAAGTAAAGAGGCCTAGCTGTTCCTCTAGCTCTATTGAGTAATAGGCAAGGCAAATTATTTAATTAGTAAACGTGATCCTGCTCATGGTCCAGGTTTGGCTAAGGCGTGTTCTAGGGAAGGCTCCTTTCAACCAAGTCAACCAACTCCTGAAACGAAGAGTAGGGAATTTTGGCCAGAGTAAAGGTATAAAATGTTTTGTTGGCTGGAATACAGCTCCCTAACCGATAAAGCATTCTGTTTTGTCGTTTGTTTTACAACCGGACGAAAAAACCAGTGCAGAAAATGTATTTACACTCAGTGTATGCTCAAGTATTGCTGCAGGAATACGATGACGGAAACTGGGCGAAATTCCAAATTATACGTGCACCCTTAAAATAAAAGAACCGGATACACAGCCGATCTTTATCAAACCACGGACAGTACCTTACACATTGCTAGATAAAGTGGCACAACAACTTGATCATTTGGGAAACCTGGGTGTCATAGAAAAAGATGTCCATTCGGCATGGGCCACACCAGTAGTTCCGATCATCCGAATCAGATTGTGTGCCGCTTATAACATCACCATTAACAAATACATTCAAGATGATTAATAACCTATTTCAAAAATCGACGATATTTTCAATAAAATGAATGGCGGCGTCTAGTTCTGTACTCTGGATATATCCAACGCATACCAACACATGAAGCTCGACAACGATCTCATTCAACTACTTCTGTGGGCTGTTCTGAATTAATGGTTAACAGAAATATTCGAACGAGGCTCGATTTGGTTAGAGGTGACATCACTTCGGACATCAGCGGGAAACAGTTAAGTAACAACTGAAATTACACTAATCCAGCTATAAATTGGGATTTTGGCACGATCGTGGGAAGGTTAGATTACGATGTTCAGGAACGTATGCAAAGGAGACATGTCGACCAGCTCTTACATTTTGTTGGGCAAATTCCAACTACCCAACGTCCGACCGATGTGGAAAAGGACTTACAAGAAGAAGCGGTTCCAGTTCCAGATGTCGAAAATGTCTAAGAGATTCCACAACAGCTTACACCTGAGAACCCTACGACCGAAGTTCCAGAGCCACGCCACCCTGCGATAGAAGTTCCAGACCCACGCCGCTCCCGGAGGAACAGGAAAGTTCATCAGCACCTCAACCTCTAGATCTCGCAGGAAGGATAGTGTTGTGTCCGCACTATAAAGGCGGCAACATCACACAGAGCCAATCAATCGTTCTCATCGAGCATTTAATTCATTGTATTATCATTAAAGGTTGCACCAGAATTTGAGAATAAAAGATTGAATCAAGTGCGGGAGTTAAATTCAAGGGCAACCAGCAAATACATAACAGTTTATTTTTCGATCATTTTAATACCCCTCTTGAGACTCTACCAGACATTTCTGAGGCAGACCCTGACTGTGATAGACAAGCCAAGACTTTGTTGAAAAATATGGAGGGGTTCAACTTTGCATTTGACCTGCTATTACTCAGGAGGGTTCTAGCACAATGTGAAATACTGTCAAAGACCATTCAGTCAAGCAGTGTGACTTACGAAATTGTGAAATCTGTGACAAAAAGAACACTATCATTCCAATCGTGTCGAACAGATGACTTTTTCACAATTAGGCACAATATCATCACAATCACAAATTAGGCGTCCTGGAAACTTCTCTTGCAATAGGCCTCTCACTGCCAGTGTTGCGTGACTCGTTGCTCCATCCCGCCGGAACCACATGTCTTCTAGATCATAAGCTTGAATTTACATCCAAAACTAATTGGTTGACACGGGTCCATAGCGCTCAGAGTTAACTGTTGTAGCTCTTCCTTGATCGTTTTCCGAAAAATACGAGCCAATAACACCGCTGGACCATAATTCACACCATACGGTAACTTTTTGCAAAGGCCTTTCTGCGATCACCTGAGGATTTTGAGAGCCCCATATACGGCTGTTCTGTTTATTCACGTAAGCACCGAACGAAAAATGAGCCTCATCGCTAAGAATATTCGGTTCGAAAAATCATCATCAACGGCTTGTTCAATCCCCCAATTTGCGTATGTTCTGCCTTGCCCATGGTCTTGAGGCTTAAGCTCTTGAGTTAGTTGGACTTGAGGAGTTGGAATTCGGGTCTTCTTCCACACTTTGAGCAACACCAGCGATATTTTCAGCTGAACGAATGGTGCGATGATGCACAGGCCTTACAATGTCACAAACCAATCCAGCATCTGCAAATTTTTCCTCTCTTTGTGGGTCGATAATGTTGACCGTAATCGGCTCGTAAAGCCCTAAACGTTGATACAGCTAAATCACCATTTTTATAGTAATATTTAATAATTTTTACGCGTTCTTCGACAGTTATGCGATATACAGGGTTGCTCATTAGTGCGTCAAAGTGCGATATCTCAGTAAATATAAAGTTTACAAGAAAATTCGTCCAACGAAAGTTTTTCACGTTTAAAAGGTCCACATTCTAAAATTACTTTCCAATATACAGGGTGCATCATAAACATGTGGTAGTTACCAACTCTGGTTTTTTAAATAAAACCCCCCCTTTTTTTGTTATTTTCAGATTGGCCGTTCAATTTTAATTTATGTTTGTTTCAACTGTTTGACCTGAAAAATTTACGATTTCCGAGTTATTCGTAAAAATGTGAAAGTTTTGACAGCTACTGGGTTCCACAGAAATCAATGCTGTACACTACCCGCTGCGAATTTTG